AAATTGCAAATCTTCTTTTTGAAAGTAAGCTGGTATGAGTGATGCAAACAGTAACTTTTAAACAGTGTGCATGAAGAGAAATGGGCTCGTGCACGCTCTCGCACGTGTTACCTCTCGGGAGCGGGTACATGGTTGTGCATGTGCATTTTATTTTTTTTAAAGTGGAGAGGGCGTCTTTTCCAGGGTTCCAGCGGGTCCTTAAAATGTCTTAAAAGGCATTTAATTCTTCAAAATAAAACTAAGGCCTTAATTGGTATTAAAATGTCTTAAATCAGTCTTTTGTCTGTCGTCATTTTTAAAACATCATAAATAGGATTATTTTTATTATGATTTATTTTTGTAATCTAAGTAAAATATTAACATTGGCCTTTTTTTTATTTAAAAAAATAATGGCTCGCCATTATTGGTTCCGTCCTGATAGCGGAACCAATAAAAGCGTTGTTGCGGCCGGGACATTTGGCAGATGCGCCATTTACTTTTTTTCAGCATTCTATGGACGTGTTAAAAAATGGCAGCATCATGATCGGAGCCTTTGTGTTGTTAGGCAGTAACCAAAGCACCCAACAGTCAGGTTAAACACTCAGCATAGATCCAAGGCTGGAACTGTTAGACGCATCTAGCTTCTGATATTTTTATCTGGACCAAAACCAGCGACATGCTCTGAAAGAGAGCAGAGAAACGTCGTTCTGTTTTATCTGAGAAGCATCAGTTTATCAATCCAACCACAGACTGAAGCGGTTTAACGAGCTAAGAAAAAAACAACTCTTGAGACATGAAGAAGTTTTCGTCTTTTGTTCCACACATCAGTTCAGACTCAATCCAACAAACTGATGAAGTTTTATTTCATGTTCATATACGTCAAGGTTCTCTCCATCACTGACAGTTTGAATTAGTCTGAGAAATAATGTATTATTTTCAATGCTTTCCATTATTTGCTGATTTTCTTCTTTTTTTTCCAGTTAAGGTAAACAAAGCGAGTCGGTCCGGTTCATTTTGTCTCATTCTTCCACTCGTGGGTGGAGGCCTTCGCACAGTTTCTCCTTTAGGCTCTGACGATATCCTCTTTAGTAAACTTTAGCATAAAACCTAGAAGATTGATTCTTCCACTTTGTGTCCTTCATATCCGCCATAGCGCCGGGCAGCTATAGCTCACCTATAGCAAACGGCCGCCTCTATTGTCACCTCGTCTCAGAGCTGTGATTGATTCCAGCTCTTAGCAGCCATGTTTGCACTTCACATGGTCCCAGCTCTTTGAGACGGCTCTCTGCTTTTCTTTACATCCAACAGAAAGCAGCATGGCTGGATTTCACACAGGGAAACCTTGACGCTGCGCTCAACCTCTGTTTACTCTACATATATATATTTGCAAGATTTCAAATGTATTTTATTTGTTTGATTTAAAACATATAATGGTATTGATGCAATTATTTACTATACTTTGATAAATGCTATTTAAGATGTATTTATTGTGGATTTTCTTGAGAGCTGTAGGATTTTTTTTTTTGGGAAAAATTTGATAATTAAGATCAGATTTCCATCCATGTCTTCATTATAATAATTTGTCGATTTCTTCATATTTTATGATCTAAAAAGATACTCGAGGTGAATGAACATCTCAGTAAACACCTTGAATAAGACAAAATTCATTGAAAATTTCAAAAACGTCTTAAAAAAACTAACTTTACACTTCAGAAATGCCGCTAAGGGCTCTGGATGAAGCAGACAAACAATAGTTTTTATTTTTCCTATAAAACGTAAATAATATTTATACGGTTTTGGCTTAATTACTCCTCTGAGTAGTTTCTCCTTTAGGAGGTTTATTTATTCTTTTTAGAGTCTGCAATTTACAGTGAGCTATTTTTAAATTACCTAATTTATCGAGTAAAACTTGTCTCCCAGTTACTCAGATACTAAAACAGATAAATGTAAACCATGGTTTGCAGCTTCTTTGGAGTCCTCAGTAAATAAAAAAGGTCATAGTTTAAAAACCACCAAAGTTTTCTGAAGTAGAAGCCTTTTTTTTCATCTTCTCAGACTATAATGTTGAGGTTGGGGGCGGCGGCAGCTTCATGACCCCTCCTGCCTCACACAGTGTCGCTGCTGAGCATCCCAAACTTCTCCTTGTCTTGTGAGTAGTGTTAATTTTAGCAGCCATTTTTAAATTAAGTTTCAGTTTTAGTCCACTTTCAGCATCGCTTGTTAGTTTTTATCACATTTAGTCGACATCATCCCATTTTTATTTAGTCTAGTTTTAGTCTACTATAAGTCAGAGCATTTTAGTCTTTATTTTAGTCCAAGAAAACATAATTTTATTCGTTTAGTTTTAGTCAACAAAAACCGTCAACATTTTAGTCTTGTTTTAGTCAGGAGATGATATTTAACATTTCCTAAAATTATTTCACTTTTCAACATTTTCTCTCATCTTTTTGATAGAAAAAAACACAAATTTAAGGAACACATGCAGACATGGAAGATGTTCTGACAATATTTTCATATTTATTTTGAACATTGTTAAGGTTCAAAGACACAAACACAAATGCTTGCATTAAAACAAATAAAATACACCTGACAAAGGAAACAAATAAATAAAATAAATTGTCTTACGAACTTTACACAAGTGCTGGCTGTTTAAAGCTAGTTCACATAGAATAATAAAATAAATAGATTTGAGATCAATGTTGTTTTTATGTTGTTTATGCTGTTTTTAAATTAACAGCCTGCATTAAGTGAAAGAAATACTGAGGCAAACGGTTTGATGATTGTGCTGGAAAACCGTTTCCACGGACAACTAAATTAAAATATGAGAGTAAAGATCTTTTTTAAATCACACATCTTTTTAATTTCATCAAAATACAGTGAAAGCCTGGTATTTTTACTTACTTTAACATGCTGTTACAATTTCCCACTAGCTCAGGCCTAAAGCACAACATATATTGTGTATTTTTGTGTGTCGGCTCAGTTTTAGCATCCATCCCGCTAACATGCAGTGCTGCTAAAATTCCCTGAAATGCGTAAAAACGGGAATTATTTTAACTCTGTAGAGCTCCAGGATTCCGTTTCCTCACTTCTTCTTGCTGGAGTAAATGGCTTTAACGCTGGGGCTGCTATCTTAGCTTTAGCTGCCCTAAGGTGCTAAATGGTGGGCTAAATAACAATCCATCAACGCTGTCAGATCAAAGGAACGTTCTCTAACCTCCGGATGCAGCCGTATTCCTGCAGGGGCACATCTAATGCAGTTATGCCCCCCCTTATTGTCTTGTTCTTTCCTTTTCAGCAGCTTTTCTTCACACATAATTCCTGTTGCGGAAGTGGGTGACTCGCTTTGGGGCGTTGCGGTGATGACAGATGTGTTTTTTTTTCTTTCTAGTTTTCTCAGTATAAAGCTGTTTTTGCCTTAAGTTCTGGCTACTGTTGTACTTCCAAATGCTTTACTCATGCAGCTCCATCTGATTATTTCCCCATGTCTCCTTGCTGCACGTATGTGGAGTAATCCAATTATTTCTGCATTTTTCAGCACATTCCGCTCGCCTCGGTCACATATGAAGCGGTTCACGACTGCACCTGTTGCTGGAAAAACGCTCCTGCGCTTTGCAGTAAAACGACGTGACGAGAGAAAAGCGCCGTCAGGCCCGGATGGGCGGCAGAGTGACCTCGCTGCCCTCTGCAGCTGTTCATGCTGGCTGTAAAGGGAGGCTGCAGGGCTTTTTAGGAAGGCGTTAACCGGCTTTACTTAAAGCTGCCTTATTGAAATATGCATTACGTCCTGATTTCTTTGAGCCGCTGGCTCGTCCTCTGTGGCCCGATTTCACAGCCATCTCATAAATTGCACAATTATTCTCGTATTTATTCTAATCTTTTTAGTCGTAAAAAAAATCAGTTGGAACACAGCAAATCAAGCAGGTATAAACAACCAACAAACCTTCAGTTGTGTGGCATTTTTCCTGTTTTCATCCATTACATATGGACCCTCTGTAATCACATCTTAAAAACCCCCGTCGGAGTGCTTTACTTGAGAAACCGGTGATTTTTATCACTCGATACCTCAGCAGAGCTTGTTGGAAATCACTGATTGTTCCTCATTTGAGCTGAATGTCGTGTAATGAGAGCTGCGGGATTTGGAGAATGGTTCAGTGATTTCAGGAGCCTTTTGATGTTTGATTTGCATGTTTTAAAAAACGGTTTCACACACAAACCCAAACCCTCCAACACATCAGAAGGTCACTATGAAACGTTTGCCGTTAAGTGCGAGTGTGGGAATCAAAGCAAGAAACCTTTTCATAATTTTTTTTCTCACATCGCTTCCACAAACTTTTATGTGTTCTGCTTGGTTTTTATGAGGCAATATAATGTAGAGCATGACTGTGAGTTGGAAGGGAAAGCACTCTTGGTTTTTATGCTTACTGTGTGTCGTATTCAGTCCCGTTGGCTTGATGTGACCCAGATTGTTTAGGCCTGCATGTCAAACACAGTGAACATGGCATCTCTTCAGTGAAGTATAGTGATGGCAGCATCATGCTGTGGGAAGACTTTTTGTGACCGATCAGTGTTGATGGGGGAAAATGGACATTTAGAGTCCTGAAATAATTAATCAGTCGGAGGTGAAGGAAATTCTACACTAAAACAGTCGGTCCTGTCCTGAAGAGAAATAAAAATATGTGTGAGAAGCTGGTAAAGAGACCCCACAAGCACAGACTTGGGGGGTCTGGTTAGAGATATATGCTTTCAAGGTTTTAATCTTCTCTCTCACCTCGCTGAATTTTCAGATTCATCTTTGAAAAATTGCTGCCTTTGCCTCCGACTGTCTTTAATGCCCAAATATACAGAAAACCACATCAGAGGCAACTTTCATTATTACTTTCCTTCATCTTATATATTGAGACTATTATTCAAATAAAACAAAGTTATCTTTTACTTCATTTTCTCTTCGCAGTGCTTTTCAGTTTCCCTCTTGCAGAGCACAAAAAAAAAAAATCTGAAAGGAGTCTCTCTGTCCTCCACAGGTGCCATTCTGGGACGCTCAGAGACGGAGAAATGCATCTACTACAACTCCAGCTGGGAGAAGGACAGAACCAACCTCAGCGGCACCGATCTGTGCTACGGCGAAACGGACAAGCGGCGGCACTGCTTTGCCACGTGGAAGAACGTCTCGGGCACCATTGAGATCATCAAGCAGGGCTGCTGGCTGGACGACATGAACTGCTACGACAGGTAAACGGGAAGACTGCTGAGAGAAGATGATACTAATAACCGTTTAACTGTTTCCAAGGTTGTTTGTCTCTGTTTTTAGTTTGAGAGCTTTTAGAAGAAAGAAATATACGGAACAGGATTAGGGCCACTGGAGAAAAAAAAAAGTTAACAGATTTTTACATTTTATTTCAGTTTAACATGGGGTAAAAAGTCAGAATTCTGACTTTTTTCTCAGAATTCTGACTTTTTTTTCTTTTCCATTTAACATCACAAAAGATCACTTATCTGGTTCACAGTTTAGGCCCCGTCCACACGAAGTCAAAACGAGCACGAAACGCTAATATTTTCCAGAACGTTTGTCGTAAAGATGGAGACGTAAAATAAATGTGGTCGTCCAAACGAATGCATGAAAACGCTGCAAAATGTATGCCAGGCCTGTAAGTGGCGCTGTGGTGCCAAAGCAAAAATAGGCAACGAAATGTTGGGCATGCGCACTAATATTTATACATGGTTGCCCTGCGGGTCCATTTTCGTGGTTCAGTCAAGTCAGGTGCTGAACTATGTCGTCGATATTGCTCTGTTCTTCCTGGAGATATTCCAGAAGAGGAAGATTCTGTTGTAAGCCCGACAGCAGGGTGAGTAGCATTAGCAGCAACGGCGCCATTGTTGTTGTGATACTGAAAAAAAATGCGGTTAGAGCTTAAAGATGGAAACGCGAAAACGGCGTGTCAAAATCTTCCCACTCTGAAGGCTTAATAAAAAAAAGATCGTTTACAGACCCCCGAAACGCCGGCTTCGTATGGATGAGAGGCTGGTTTGGTGAAAAATTTGTGCGTTTAGGCCAGGGTCTGACTTCGTGTGGACGGGGCCTTAGTCCCTGATTGTTGGAATCAGCATTTTTAACAAATTCAAGGTTGGTGTCATCATTGCCTGATATTATCCTAATTTATTCTGTAGCACAGGCATAAAGAGTGGGAGGAAGAGTCACTGAAACATCTTTATCAAAGACTAACTTAATCCAGCGCTCCCTAGTGGTTTGGTCCACAGATGCAGGCAAAGTAAAAACATTTGTAGAGCAACTGACCTGAACAAGGAGTTTGGTCACACTTCCATGATGTATACATATGAGACAGGCCAAAATCTCAGTTTGTGGCGAGCTCCCCCCTTTTAAAAACGGACAAACGCTCAGAAAAACTTCTTGAGCTAATGGCTGAAGCCCCCTCAGAGCATAAAGGGCAGATTATAATTCTGCATCCGCACACATCAAAGGTCGCTTGGGTCTGGTCACAATCAAGTTTTGCTGGTATGCTTCGGCACCGTCGGTCTGGAATTTCTATGGACGCACAGCAGTTTCCCGCCAAACCTACCTACCTTATACAGCTTACCTTTCTGTTTACAGCACCATAGGTTTTGGGCTATTTTAACCCAAATTGACAAAAACAAGTTCTGTCTTTTATTGGATTGTTGGTAAGACTATAGATAATAGCTCTACACAAAGAAAAACACATATCTGAAGGGCATCTGGGAGGAATAAAGTGTAGAAAATGATCAGCTGATATAAATGGTGCATATTTAAGCTTTTCTGTCTGATTTCTGCAGTATTCTTTACTGTTTTGACAAAAACTTCACTTTAAGTCGCTGTTCATCAGCTGTAAATGGATGTTTTTTCAGGCCTTCTATTTCTTTTGTCCGCCAGTTATTCAACTTCTTCCGTTTTTAAGCTCACACTCAACAGTTGGCTGTCTTTGTTTGCTACATAAGCTGACCTGAAGAGCAGCGAAAAAGCAGCAAGAAGCATAAAGAAAACTACTTTGAAAGACCTTCATTTAACCTGGTGCAGGGGATTTGAACAGTATAGATCAGCTTTTATAAAATCCAAGGTCTAGATATGTATGGAAAGTGTTTCTTTCTTTATTATCTAAAACATGAAAAGAAAGTTTCTTTAGTTTCAAACTCATAGAACAGATATTGTCTTGGGTAATTGCTGAGTTGCTACAAAAATAAAGCACTTTTGCCCTCTTAGATGACGGTCGTGACCGTAAGCTTGAGTTCAGGCGCTCTGAACATCATCTCAGTGTAGAGCCAGGTGTCTCTCGCTTTACATTTATCACCTACAGGAATCTCTCTATCAACAAGACAAAGCCAGCACGCCATGACTCACGGTGAACTCCAAACCCCTTTAAAATCACCTTGAGCACTTTGTTTTATGGCCCAGATTGCTTTCCATGGGATTGACTTGCACAAGGCCATGTTTTAATCACTGCAGCTGACATAAATGAAAAGCTTTCCTCTTGAAACTGATTCAACTTCTAAAAGATCTTTAAAAAAAAACAGCTTCTAATGAAGTGTGTCCTCATGGTTTCCTGCTCACTAGAACATGAAGTTGATATCAGGAGCTCGTTTCAGGCAGTTTGTGTTTTCCTTTGATTGCCAAATGATAAAGTTGCAGTCGGATCTGCAGCCCGCTCCATTCGGGTACCTCTGTTCAGACGGCGCCGGCTGGACTCCCTGGAGAGTGCAGAGCAAGTCGAGGGCGGCTGCCACTTCCTTTGGCTTTTATCTGATGACTCTGAGAGAGTGAAATGGAGAGTGTGTGCATATTGGCTCACGTAGGAGTTATTTAATAAATGTTATGTTTCATTGTCCTCTGTGGCTGTCAGGGAAGAAAAAGAAGAGAAAGGAGTGTGTATCGGTGTACGTTCACGCCTTCTGCACAACTCATCTTTTATGCTTGATGCACTTTGAATAATAAGTGCAGAATGGAGGGGGCTGTGTGTTTCTAAATCCCACCTTAATGTCCTCTGCAGCAGCGAGTGTGTGGAGAGGAAGGTGAGCCCCGATGTGTTCTTCTGCTGCTGTGAAGGCAACATGTGCAACGAGAAGTTCATGTACGTCCCAGATACGCAGGCGCCCAACGACACCGGCCATTCCACCGCCTACAGTAAGTACAGATCGGTTTGTAATGTCTACTGAAGTGGAAATAAACCAAAGCATATGCAGATTGATTAGATATCCACATGCAGATCGTACTCTGGGTTTGTTTAGCCGGGGAATTGTCCAGAAATGTGTGGGTTTTGTTGATTTATTTGAACCTATCATATTCTAGGTTGGAAAATTTAGACGTTAAACTACTTCAGTGGTTTTTAGAGCATACACACATATAACTTTAAGATAACAGCCTTTAGGCTTTGGCATGTTAACGTGGTTAAAGTTAGCTTCCTGCTGGGTTGCTGTGGAGTTGAGGATTTGAAGAAGGCCCACAGCATGATGCTGCCTCTTACGATTGTATTCAAACTACAGTCAACTAGCTTTAACATATAGCCTGATAAACCAGACTAAATGTGAGATTAAATGTGTAATTTAGTCCGGCCCAAATGAATGAGACATCGGAACATTGTTCATGAGAACAACTCATTGTTTTTCAAACCATGGCTATGCCTATTGGAAAACACTCTGAGCAATAAGTGCAACTACTGTGACGTTGTAAGAGCGACAGGAAGCTGGTGGGGGAGTGTAAACAAACAGCCTGTCGGTAAAAAGGCGAATATAGGGTTCCTGCGGGTCCTTAAAAAGTCTTAAAAGGCATTGAATTCTTCAAAATAAAACTAAGGCCTTAATTGGTATTAAAATGTCTTAAATCAGTCTTTCGTAGGTCTTAATTTTTAAAATATCATAAATAGGATTATTTTTATTATGATTTATTTTTGTAATGTAAATAAAATATTAAAATTGACCCTTTTTTTTTTTTTTTTTTTTAATAACGGCTCGCCATTATTGGTTCCGTCCCGATAGCGGAACCAATAAAAGCGTTGCGGCCGGGACATTTGGGAGACGCACCATTAACTTTTTGTCTGGAAAATATGAGCAAGTGTAAATGTAACGAAAATTGGCTCCAGCCAAGAGTTTTTTCCATGGCTAAAACCAGGGAACATACATGAGGCACAGTTTATTTTGTGCAAGAAACCATTCGAGCTGGGAACGATGGGAATTAAGGCAGTGGAGTCAAACACGCGAAGCACGAAACACAAAGCGTCAAAATGGAGTTACGGAGAAACAGCCGGTATTTCTCAGTTTAGTTCCACCCTTGTCTCTGCAACGCCTCCACTTATCACCAAATCAAACATACTAAGAAAACCATACAAAGAAAAACAGCTGCAAAAAAGACTTAGCACTGGTTATGTTGGGGCTTTAAAACTGATTTGTTTTGTTCCCTGCTAAAACAAAGTTTGTGAATTCAGTTAAATAATTGTTCAAATATATCTGTCATTTGTGTGTTTTTAGCTTTCTTCCTGTATGGGAAGCTTTTCAAAGTTTGAAACATTAGTGCAGTGGTTTATGTTCTAATAAACCTTTGGGTTAAGTTGTCGCAAGCAGGTTTTTCTTGTGTTTCTTGTGAATTTGGTCTTAAATTTTTATTTCAAGTGGCATTAAAAAGTCTTAAAAAGTCTTGAATTTAACTTGCCTTATGCTGTAGGAACCCTGGAATACGTCCTTCTTAAAAATGAATGAGCGTAGAGCCACTTCCTGTTCAGGTTTCAACGTAAACCCAAAGTCTAATCCTTCCAAAACTGATTCCAAAGTTGAGTCAAACTAGAACTGTCCAATAGTTGTTGCCATCTTCCTTGTTGTGTTTTCTCCAGTGTTGCGCACCTTTGTCGTCCCGCCCTCAAAACCCCGCCCGCTTTGCTTCCAAAAACACATCTCTGCGTTATGATTGGCCAGTAGTTCGAGGGCCTGGGGCATAGATCGAGGCTAGACCACTCGCAGGCAAAAATGATTTTCGCAGCTGGTGGGTGGGGCTAGTTCATTAGGCTATTTAACACTGGGACTCCCAGAATTCTGATCCTACTAGAACTCCCACTGGCCGTCAATTTGTCGGGTGACATTTTTCCCAATGCAAAGCAAGAGTAGTGATGATGTCATTTACTGAGATGGTTCTAGTGTGCAATATAAACACATTGTGGACATGTAAACCTTAAAACAGGTCTGATATATATTTTTCAATGGCTGTATTGTATGCTACTATTATTTGTGTTCTAAATTTATATCAAAAATAAATTCGTAGAGTAAGACTGTTTTACTACACACAACAAAAAATGCCTTCTAAAAAATAATAAAAAAAATATAGTGTTTTAAGTGAATAATTGCTTATTTTGAGCAAAATAATCTGCCAGTGCAGCGAGCAAATGAGACTTCTTAAAACAAGAACATAATATCCGAGTTGTAAGCATCCAAAAAAACTTAAATTAAGTATAAAAATTACTTTTTCTTTTACTCGTTAAGATTTTTTTTCTTATTTTAAGCAATTTATTTCCATTTATTAGTCATTATTGCTTAGAATTTAATAAACTCTAACCAATTATTGCTCAAAACAAGCATACAACAGGCTTTAAAACAAGGCAAATGTATTTGATACCAGTTCATTTAAAGGCTTAGAACTAGTCTGTTTTTCTTAGCTAGAATTCATTTCATTATTTAGGTGTAGTGAATGTATTGGAAAAATACACTTGACAAAATCTTCAAAACGTTTTTTTTTCATTAATATTTTAGCAGAAATGTCACAGAATTAAGCAAAATACAAGTAAAAATGTATTCACAGTCTAAATGTTAACACGACTCAGTCTGCAATGTGTGCTATTTTAAGAAAACAGCTGCTCAGAATTAGTTGTATTATCTAGTTAGGATGAAAAAAGTGAATTGTATTAAAACAAGTCAAATAATCTTAACAATATTCAGCCCTACTAAGAAAATACTTTGAAAAACAAGTGTAATATGACCAAAATGCTGAATTCAAGTTTATTACACTACACAGATTTTCCTTTTTTGGAGTGCACAGGTTCAAAGTTTGAAATTACAATTATTTTTACAGAAATTGATTGATTCCCCCCAAACATTTCCTGCTAAGCACCTTTTCACATTTTTTTTTTTTTTTGTCCATCTGTTTTACCAGTTCAAGGATAAAATATCTGCGTGAGATGGTGACATTCAAACAGCTCTACAACAAAAACAACGCGTTTATAGCTGACATGTCCAGGAGATCGTAAAATACAGCCGCAGGCCACCTTTGCGTTGGATCCGACACGTCCACCCCGACCTTTGTGTGATTATAGTAGACCACAGGCTCTGGTTTGGCTTTTGGGCCACTGAGTGTACCGGCTGAGGTGTTGGCAGTGCTAACCAAACCTTGAACAAAAATATTACTATTGTCTGATAGGTCAGTGATACGTCTACGTTTTCCCATGGGGTGGGGGATCATCCTCGGACTCGCTGTCAGAATCCGAGCCGCTTCCTACCCAGTCCTCCTCATCGGTCTCTCCCCCTCCACCCGAATCGCTATCGTCAGCATTTCTAAAGCCTGTTTCGCTGATAGATTTGCACTGAAAGCCATTATTCCGTATTAGCTATTAGCTATCCGTATTATCTAGGTAGGATGTTGGTTGCTAGGCAACGGTACCAGGAAGAATTTACAATGCAACTAATAGAGCTGTCAAAATGATGGTTGTGGGAGATCCAGGTAAAATTAACCATATTTATTTTTTAAGTTTTTATTTTATTGAAAGAAAAGAAAAAAACGACGTGAAAATGTAAGAAAAATAGAAACAGAAAAAGTCAGTTAACAAGAGCAAAATAAGAATAATTTTAAATAAAGTTCTTTCCCTTTAAAATCTCAGAACCCTCAAAATGAAGGCTTTGGGAGTTCTATTGTTAAGGTATTCCACTGACAGCAACAGAGCCACACAGCATTATGCTGCCACCACTATGCTTTTACAGTTGGTCCAGAGTTAGCAGCTTTTAAAGTAAGCTATTCTAACTTTATTTATATAAAGCCTTGCAGGGTTAAAGATCACCGAATGCCTCACATTCTCATTTTTTCAAAAGATGTGTTAACAAATGCAGATGTAAAAAAATTGAGTTTTTAAAGGAAGCTTCTGAATCTGTTTTTAGCTCAGTGTAGGAGGCAGGCCCTGATCACAGCCCCTCTGGGACCCACTCTGGATCTTTAGATGAAGCAATGCTCTGATAAAAACCTGAAGAGCTCTCCAAGTGAGAGAAATAATCCTGAAATTAAATTCTAAACACCCTGTAACTGATCTAAATAACCCAAGGAGGATCAACCAAAGCATGAATCATTCCCAGTTCAGGATAAGAGACTGGAGCAATGTTTGGCTTTATATCTGTAAGGATAAAAAAACTGGATCAAACCAGACTGGACTGGATTATCCAGAGTTAAACTTTAGCTTGTCAGGATTAAATGTCCCTGTTACGTGAGGTTTAGGCTTTGGGTATTTCTACTGTTGTTCTCAGCATCTTAACAGCTGCTTTCATCTGATGATTACTGTTTGCCTAATTTAATGTTACACCGATTACAAAATAAAAAATGTGGGATGGAGTCATGGTGGTGGCAGCGTCATGCTGAGGGACGGGTTTGGTTCCATGGTACTGATGGCTTATAGAAGTGGGAGGGAAACCTCTAAATTCTCCATTTTTACCTTGACTTCTTACTAAAGGGAAGGAAGTTGGACAGAGTTGGGTGATCCAACAACTCAAGGATCCCAAAAATGTTAATTGTTGTAATTTTCTTGGTCTAAAGTCCCAGAGATGCTGTTCAACTGAAAGGATCTGATTTAACATGCAAGGTCAGATACTTAAACCACATATATATTACGGGGGTGTATTTCAATAGCTGCTTAATAGAGATAGAATGACACATCAGTTGTAGGATGGTGGCTGATTGAATGAGCAGCAATCCTTGACATCATGTGGAGCGCATGCTTGGTTACTCACTTCATTTGCCTTGAATTGTTAATATTTAGTTTGATTTGGTTATATTTTTTGTTTAAATTATTACAGTTTAGATCATTTTGACCACGTAAATGGAGGATGAAAAAGCAAACTTGACTCTGAGAATCGGCACAAGAAATATTGACATCAAATATGGAAGAGGGGTTAGTCTGATGCCATAATAATTGGTATCAGGATCCACCTTTAAAAGCCTTTATTGGTGGATCTGTAAACATTACCTGATCCTTTAGTAGTTCAGGGTGGGTAAGCAGGTAAGTATCAAATAATACACAAGTTTTAAAACGACAATAAAGCCTGTATTTGAGAGTGATTGTTAGATTCATAGAACTCCTTTAACTGTTTGAGTCTCAAGCAGATCCTAATAGGAAGAATCCATCTGTCTGTCCTTAGAGTGGTGTGTTCTCCTCCACATGTCCTTGCACTTGTTTTAAAGCTATAGGGCTCATCTGTCTGCTTGTATTCCTTCCGATTTGACTGAGAGGAAACCTGCAGACTTTGTAAAAAGCTCCTTGCAAACAGCCTGAGAGGCTCACAGCGCAGCCGGTGAAGCCCTCCCTTCCATCTCTGCCGGCGGTGGACGGCTTGTTTCGTAGAGGACGGGCTGAGCCGACAGGCGTCACCGCTGCACAGTCGAATGGTGCAGGAAGCTTTGGTATTTCTGGCTGCAGGATTACGTTATGTCACGAGATGGATTGGTAATCCTGCCCCATGTGTGTGTGTGTGTGTGCGCGCGAGCGCTCTGATATGATCTCTAAGCACAGCAGCAATAAGCTCGGGTTAGTGCCGCCCACAGAGATGAAGGGAGCTCAATGTCAGGCCGATCGGATGCATTTCATTTTTTTAGTGTTTTTCATTCTTTTTTTCCAACTGCTTCCTGTTTCTCCCTGCAGCCACGTCCAACCCGTTCTCCCCGAAGCCGCCGCTCCTCAGCACCCTGCTGTACTCCCTGGTTCCCATCATAGGTCTGGCCGGCGTCGTCCTCTTCTCCTTCTGGATGTGGCGGCACCACAAACTGGCCTACCCTGCGGCGCTTGTCCCCACACATGTAAGTCATTTCCAGCTCCCCTGTCTGTCAGTCAGCTGGACAGCAGTGTCCTTTCTGTTTGTTTACCCATTTACTTTTATCTGTTAACTGCGAACACTGAGGAAATATAAACCCTCCCAGTTCCTCTCAGATTAGTTGCTTCCAGCATGAAGCTCCTGAAGACAGAAGAAAAGCTCAGCAGTTAAACCAGGGATTGTTTTTGTCTTTGAAATTCTCTTTATTGACATCCTTAAGGCCAATTTATGCTTCTTACACATAGCCTCTGCAACCGTCAAGGCTGTCTCTGTCAAAAAAAATCCTGACTACACGTCTGACGGTCGCAAACCCACGCAGACCTCAAGCGGAAGTGCGCAGACAAAAAGGCTGTCTGTGTGGTCGTCCTTCTCGATTCAAGGGGGCGCCATTTTTAAAAACCGAGGAGCAACTACAATGGAAAACTACGACGAAAGGTTAATCGAGGAGGTTCGGAAGTGCAACCACTTGTACGATGCCTCAGACAAATTATTTAAAGATGCCAAGGTCTCTGCCAACTTCTTGGAAGAGATTGTGAGATAAATAGGTGAAGTTCTCGCGAGTTCCTGAAAAGGCTCCCCTTTGCGCTTTGCCGTGAAACTGCTGCGCTTCCCTAGAATTTCCAGACCGACGGTGCAGAAGCATACCAGAAAAACTGGTTCAGGACCAGACCCAAACGGCATTTGATGTGTGCGGTTGCAGAAGTCTAATCTGCCCTTTATACTTCAATACTGGAACAAAATGAAACTTAAATAAGCCAATTTTCTTTTAAATAAGATAGTTTTTCTTCAACTGAGCAGGAAAGTGAAAAAATTTCCCAATGGAATAAGAAAATGTACATTTAAAATAAGAAAAACAACTGCTTTGCCTTCTTTTAAGTGCAGAAATACTTATTCAATTGGCTAATCATCTTATTTACCTGCTCAGGTTAAGAGCAAACACACTGAATGTTGGACATTTTTACTTCTCTTTAGATTGTTTTTGCAGCGTCCAGATCTATTTTTAGAAAGACAATGATCCACACACTCTCTCTTCCATTTCTTACAATTTCGGGTTTTACATTAACCTCCATACAAGATCAGAACACAAAAAGATCAATCTATTCATCCAGACTGACGTAACTGTGTATCATAGTTTTTTCTTTCCCTCCATTCTTCACCTTTAACCTCTGAACTCCTTGATTCCAGGTCAGATATGTCCCCGGCTTCAGTCGGAGTTGGTTTCAGTATTATTTGGGTTTATTTCTCACACTGAAACTAAAGAGACTGCAAGGTTTCCACAACCTGTAATTTATCTTGCTGCACTGCCACAGCTAAATAAAAGCAGCAAGACCTTCAAAAAGAGGAAAAGAAAAGAATAAAGTTATGTTAGAGTTTAAAATGAATTCAAATGTAATTAAAAGTTATAATTTGTTTTTATAACAGAACGGCTTCTGCCAATCTTGATGTGAAGCTGGCTAATTTATAAGGCTAACTATGCGCTGCGCTGCTTTGAGGACTTTTGAGTATTTTCAAGTATTTTTTTTTCTTTAAAAAAGTGACTAGTAAAAAATCTAGTGACTTTTCTCCGTGTTTTTAGTTTGTTTATCTACTTCACATTAAAGCAGCAATTATTCTATCATAACTGTCTCACAGGCAGTTGCTTCGTCCTGAAAGCTGCGCAGTCTGCTCTGCTTTCAGCTAATATATAAGGCATTTGCAAAGCTGCCATTGATTCCATCCTGGATTAAAAAGAGGATATAAATTAAGTGTAAATATAATTTTAACCCAGACTTTTTTTTTTCCTCTGAAACTCTTGAATTCAAATGATTACCCAAAGCTTTAAAGACTTATTCACTTTGTAACGCATGAGCAAAGTATTGTGGAGTTAAAAGTGAGGCCTTCGCTCAGGTCCTGTAGGATTGGGTCTAAATTCCTCTACATTAATGTAAAAGCGATTAACAGATAACAGCGACCTTGGATAGCTGCTGCTTGAAGTGCTTTTTCAAGCTTTTGCACCATGAGCTGCTTTTTATCATGATTGCGCGCTCACACGGGGGGGGGGGGGGGGGGACCTTTGTACCTTTATGCAAATAAGAAGGAATTCCTAGAAATATGTAAAAAAAAAAAAAGCTGTGAAATGGGAACCATGACTGAACTTCCTGGTATTTGCTTTTTCAGAAGGTTCCGTTTCTATTTATTCAAAAAGTTTTCTCTCAGAGCCAGGCATTCCCCCTCCGACTTTGAACTGAAGACAAACACCAGAGAAATACTGACAAATTCTTCATGCAGGTCGAGTTCAAATCAAAGTGTTGTCGCCTTCACCTGATGGAGCTCTTTCATTCCTCCACCTCATGGCTCCCTTTAATGTGAAAAAAATGTCATCGTCTGAACCTCTCTCTGCCTGTTTGAACCTTGGAAACGTTTCAGGCAAATAAACCGATCCTCCAAAAAACTCTGGATTTAATGCAGCTTGTTTTTGCAGCAGAGCTATATTCTCAGCAGCTCGGCAGCAGAGGGAAGAACGGCAGAGCTTTCTAGCGTATGGAAGAGGAGTCAGGGGCCTCTGCATTATTGATGAGGCTTTATATAGGCAAACAAAACTAAACACAGAGAGAAGCTCGCAGCTCTGCCTCCGAGGATGGAGGTGGTGGGTGGGAGTGTGGGGGAGGGAGGGAGCAAAGAGAGACGTGCCGTTCTCTCCACTTATTGTATTTGCAGAGTGCCAAAGCTTAGCGGGAGAGAGATAAAAAGACAGTTACACAATGCAATCTGGAAACAAAGCTGATGTGCATCGGAAAAAAACAACAAGTCTAAGAGGCTTATGGAGCATTTTTACCTGGAAACAGATAAAGAAAAAGGAAAAACACACACATGTATATATATATAAAACAGCGATATGCAGGAGATCCTGTGAGCAATGGGTGAATAAAATGAAATATATGAGCAAGTAGAGCGAATGAAGTCATGCTGGGCTTCTGTAATCGAGTTGAAGTGGATTATTGCATAAAGGAGTAGGTGTATGAGAGCAGAAGCCAAGGAAAAGGAGGTCACACACGCAGGAAAGTATTTAAAATCAGCTCATTGGGAATTCAAGCCGCTTCATTAAAAACTTTTCTCTCTTCATAGTATTTTTTTTTTTAGTTTTTTTTCTCAAAGCATTGATCTTCTCGTCAGGCTCTCTGCTTCTGTTCGGCAGGTGAAATCCAAACCGTTCATTTCCCAATCCTGGCGTCGCGTTACGGATCGTCTTGCCGCGAGTCAGTGAAACGTCAAAAAGCCAGCTTTTGTTTGTTGGAGCTTTGTTTAGTTTTTAATGCTTGGTCATGACTTGGCCTGCTCCATAATGCAGTCACCGGAGCATAATGCGCTGCACTTAGTCATGTATTTTTAATGTGACAGCAACAGATTGACCACATGTGTTGGATTTAAGGCATCCGGTGCTGATGGAAAGGCCCTCTTGGTATTAATTGAACAACATGGATGGAATGGTGCTTTTTTTTTTCCTCTTCGTAGATAGAAATCAGTCAAACATCAAGATGTGAATTATCTCCATCCTTTTAAGATTATTGTTTTTGTTTTGTTGGCAGGTTTTTCTCTGATCATTTTCTCTTGTGGGGGTCAATCTTAGAAAAACTTTGATTGGGTAACACATTAGTTAGCTTATTTTGTTTCCTTTGGAAACCGGTTAGTGTCCTATTTGTAAAATGTTTTATGTTGCATCTTTTCTGATGCTTTTCTTCCACCTGCAGTTTGATTAGATTAATGCTTTTTGGCTCTTTCATTTTTTTTCCCGTCTATATATTTTACCTTCCAGCCATGGCATAATGACACAATAGGCTCGTAAGCAACATTATATGAAGTACAGCACGTGATAAAGGTTCAGGATACGGCGACGGTTCCACAAGTCGGCCAAGAAGATACCATTATGCAATTCTCAGTAGTATATGATCACACATCAGGCACGGGAAAAATAGTGACTGCGCACCTTTAATGGAACCATTGGTTACAGCGCACCATCGCATATTACAGACATCGCAATTGCTTATCGAGTATTTTTAATCACTTATTTGTTCATAGAACTCACAGCTTACCTACATCAGCAGGAAGTAGGAGGTTTTATTCATCTTTAAAACATTTTGCTTGTTGTTGTTATTTCCTGCCATTTTAACATTGCTTTGGTGTGGAGTGCTTTCAGTATTATTCTAGGGGTGTAAATAATAATCGTTTTGTATCGATGCATCGATCCAACAGACGACGATCAGATGCATCGTTACGTCCACAAGAGTGTTGAATCATGTTTGTTTTTTCCCTCCGGTCTATTTTTATCCATTTGCTCCTGGGCGTCATTCTCCCTCCCGTGCTGCGGTGGCGCTAAACCTATTTTGCCCTCCTACCTCACTTCTGGTTATACTCTTACAGCAGTGTGTTGCAGTGAGCTTGATGCAGACATTTTTGATTTATGCTCAATATTGAAGCGTGGTATGTGCTACACGCTGTGGGTCTAGATACGGCCGAGGCGGTGAGGAAGTGGGGGCGAGTTTAGTCCGACAACGGAGGGACATGAGGGCCAAAAAGAGCGGAAAACCAGGTGGAAAAAGGGTCCCAGCGTTCTCGCGCAGCTCGCTATTCTAGCGCGTCAAACTTCACAAGTTGTTTCCCGCAATTTCAGTCATAAGAACAAAACAAGCCGGCCTCCTGTCTGCTGCGCTGTCTGCGGTCAGCTACAATATGGGAGAGGAGCAGCGGAGCGTCTGTGGAGGGGGCGGGACGTCTGGAGCCGAGGTATTGCACTGATTTTGTGCAGTATTTTTTGATGCAAGGCCTTTCAATCTATAACGCAGAGTGCAACTTTTCTACTTCTGTTATTTGCTGTTGTTTCTCAAAAAAAATGCATAACAATATTACAGCTTTCACTGATTTATTTCAAATTTGAAACATTGTCTAGCCTTTAAAGTGTAAAAAAAAAAAGTTACCAATGAATCGAATCGTATTGTGGTGTATTCTCGA